CCATCCATCCATCCATCCATATATATTTTGCACTTGCAAATGCTTTTACTGAATTAAACTGATCTGATGTTATGTATTTTGGTGCATTAGTGTTTCTGTCTTTTATAAATCATTAAATTTGGTTTGTGTTGCGATAATTAATAGTTGAGGGCTAGTTTAATTCTTGTAGAATGAACTCATTTAGATTTTTATTTGTCTTAAACTGTTAAATGGTTTATATTTTCACCTGTTGGGAATTTCTTCTGTTGGTTTTTACCTTTGCGGTTATGTGACTGGGACTAAAAAAATATTAAACTAATTGATTACACTAACACTGCCTACTCAAATGTGCTCATGGTGTTCATCATAAATCATAATATGTTGTATCTATATAGATGGAGTTAAAATGCTGTGTATATGCTACTGCGCATGATGAATTTCTGCTTTTTGACGCTGTGTTTCCCAAAGAGGCTTTCAGTAAGTATTTTCAGCAAGGAGAGAAAGTGACAGACGGAGGAAGGAAGTAAATACAAAACAAGTGCAAGGGAAGGTGAGAATGGGCTCGGAGTGACACACAGAGTAATAGAATATGACTCATTTATTCACTGGGGAATGATCTCTCTTCTATTTGTCTCTCCTTTGCATTCCCTGTTTTGTTTTGTGCCTTCCCTTACTCCTTTCACCTTTCTGCTCTTATTTCTCTTTCACTTGAAAAAAAGAAAGAAATAAAGAAAAAACACAAAAATTATATTTCCTGTCTGTTTTCTTCCAAATATATTTATAAAATACTACCATTAAACGTTTACAACTCTTGTAGAGCCTAACTAATACATATTCATACATCATCAAAATGTCTATTTTGTCATATGAATCTACTTTTTCTACATATCAAATTTGGTCATTAAGTAATGACTATGTCTGTGACTAACAGGATGTTCTGAAAGACAACAATGTCAGCAGTTGCCCAAGAAATATGAGTCACTGGTATTGATCATGCACAAACCATCACAGCAGGATGGTGAAGCTGATTCTTTTTTCTTTTTAGTTTCTTTGCTAGTTAATGTTGGCTCTAAGAAAACTGTATACAGTTTTAAAGCAGTGGTAATTATTTTAACGCTTAAACTGACCCATGCTTATAAT